CTTTTCAGAGATTTTTCTACCTTCAGAGTTGGATGTAGTTTAGTTACTATTGCCATAGCCAACCTATAGTTTTACAGAAACAATTTCTTGTGGAATAATAGATGAGACATCTCCATTTTTAAAAAGCATTTAAAATGTAGTTTGAATATTTTCCACAGGATGCTACAATGTGAGTTATCATCTACTTCATTTATCTTAAAGACTAAACTGATTGTCAGTTACATCTGACAGAAAAAAAAATCACTGTGTAACCAGGTTAAGTGGTAAAATAATCCAGGCATCAGTCAAAACAAGTATTTTACTAACTTTAATATTGATTACATTTTTAACAGAAATTTAAGAGTATTACTGGAATTAAAATGCATATATTAAAGAAGAATTTCCTTTACTCTGTCTGGCTTAAAATACTACTTTGCTTAAGTATTTTTAATCACCAATAAGTAATTACATTTTAAAATTCATCATTTAAGTCAATATTAGTTTTATTCAAAAAAGATAATATTTTACAATGTAACTATAAACTCTGACTTGAATTTGGTATCTAATGAGTTTTTAAAATATAAAACCTAGCCTTTTTTTAAAGCTCCTTTGTCTTTTGTGTTTAGAGGCTTTCTATATGAAGATGTATCTTACATATAATAAACTACAAATTCTGCAAAAAAAAAAATTACCATCACAGATAGAAATAACCCAAATGTCCACCAACAGATAAACAAAATGTGATATACACATACAATGGAACAGTATTCAGCCTTAAAAAGGAGTGAAATTATGACACATACTACAATATGTTTGAACCTTGAAGATAGAATGCTAAGTGAAATAAGCCAGTCATAAAAGAATATTGTATATCTCCACTTATATGAGATACTTAGAGTAGTCAGATTCATGGAGACAGAAAGTAGAATGGTAGTTGTCAGAAAGAAATAGAGAGTTATTGTTGAATGAGTACACAGTTTCAGTTTGATAAAAAAAAGTTCAGGAGATAGATAGCTGTGAAGGTTGCACAGCAATGTGAATGTACTTGATGTCACTGAGCAATGGTTATAATGCCAAATTTTATGTTATGTTTATTTTACTACAGTAAAAAATAATGAATTACTTACAAGTGTAGACTTTGCTATGATGCAGACACTATGTTAAAGGTTTACGTTGATTTTCTCGCTTAATGCCTATTGATATCCCCATCTTTAGATAATAATCTAATAAATGAGTGAAATGTTTCCTGTCTACACCTGTGGCACATCCCATAGATGAGACTCATGTTGGCCTCTCCCAGGAAATGTTACTGACTCCACTCCTCCAAACCTTCCCTCCCCCTCCAGTGATCCTCCTTCCATGGACTTCTTGGCTACCACTACCACAAACCAGAGGAGCAGCCCCGCTGTACTACCTCTAAGGCAGTGAAGACTAGTGGTTGAGGCTTGGGCTCTGGAGTGACACTGTCCGGGTCTGCATCTGCCATCTGTACACTGCGTGACCTTGGGCAAGTTACTTAATCTGCCTGTGCTTCAGTCTCCACAGCTAAAAGGTACCAAACTTCACAGGGTTGCTCAGAGGCTTACATGAGCTAAGGCACGTACAGCACCCAGAACAATGTCTGCCATGTATTAAGTGGTCAGAAAACGTTAGCCACTGATGTATCCCATAGCCATCTGGAAGCAACAGCCTGTCCCGGGGATGCAGCAGGAAGAATAAAGATCATTCAAGAGAGAAGGGACCTTAGAGATCATTTTACAGATGATGGCACAGAGAAGTCCATAATGGCTCAATGTCTTGCCCGAGGTCACACAGGTGGTCAGGGGCAGCGCCAGAGCCAGACTCAGGTTCTCTCTGACACAACACAATGCCCTCGAGGAAAAGAAAGCAAGACATATTCAAGCTGACTTTCCACTTAGGTGCATATTACAGGACTTATCTATCTCAATAATTGTACATAATGAAGTTACAAGTATTAACATGTGAATAGATAATTCTCTCAGCCAAATAGAGAAGAGCCATTGGCACACACTGTGTGAACACGGGTTGAGGAGGGGCACAGTAATCACGTGTCAGAGACTTCAGGGTATGGCCTGTTTCTGAAAAGAAGCCTGGGTAATAGTCCAGAATGTGAGACCACTTCAGCAGAGCTCTGAGACAGCCCTTACAGAGTGAGTCTTATAAAGCAGAGCCCAGGCTCACTGGTCAGTCCTGCCCACCCAGCCTGCAGGTCCTGACTGGTGATGGGAAGCAGTGGAGCAGGTGGGGAGGGAATGCTGGGGGAGGGGTAGAGACGGACTCCAGAGATGGTTTGTTCCAGAAACAACTCCACTATAAAACTGCTGCCAGTTCGGCTCGCTGTCCCCCACCAATCTCACCTCCCAAGCTTCTCCTTCCCCAACAGGCTCTCCACGCCACCCTCTCCTACCTCTCCCCTCTTTCCAACTTTTCCACCCACTAACCTCTGACACATTATCCTGCATCACAACCCTGAGGATAGATTTACACTTTCCAGCCTCAGTGTTTTGCCCACACTTTCCTTTCCTCCTAGAATGCCTGCCACCTTCAGTTCTATAATCCATTTTCCCTCGACCAAAACTGTCTGGTAAACTCCCTTCCCAGAAATGCCAACCTTTCCATGAAGCCACCCACAATCAGAAGTCTGCTTTCCATCCTCTGTGCCCTCAGAATCTTCTAGATCTTTCTAAGGCACTTGATAAATTCTCCCTCACTCCCTTCTCAAGACTCTCACTCCTTTACAGCCTTATACAGTGCCTTGCTAACAAGTGGTCTGCACTCAGTGAACACTAGTTGCTAAGTGTAGAGGTCAGAATGGCAGCTGGGGAAACTGATGTGCAGCAGGGGAAGCTGAGAAGGAAGGCAATGAAGAGTAGGTCCAACAGCAAAGACTAACTCTGTGCCAGAACTACTCTAATGTTTAACTTAGTTTTCAAGGCAATCCCATGAGATAGGTGCTATTATCTCCACACACGGAGCGGGAAACTGCAGTACATATGGGCCCAGTAACTTGCTCCAGGTCAAACAGCAGGGTTTTGAATGGAAGCAGGCCAGCTAGCTCTTTATATGGTTTCTCTACAACGCTGTTCTCTCTAACTCTGCACACCTGAAAGCCACTTCAACTCTTCCACTCACAGTATGCGCTGCCTTTCTGAATCAAAAACATGCTCTGCAACCTGCGATTAGAGCACCTACTGCTTTCCAAGCCAGAAATTAAAGATCAGTTCTGGCCATATCACCATGACAGTAAATAACATACGATAAAGTCTCCAATCCAAAACACTGCTGAAACAGAGACCTCTACACATGTTTGTAATGGAATAGGCCTCAGGCCATTCACCCAGCTCAATATCTGCCATCATCTCCATTTCTAAATCCTGAAATATATGCCAGATTTATGTTCATAAACACCTAACAATAACTCGGAATATTACTTGGAGAGAATTATGGGGTTAATATACACACAATTACTTGGGGAAAATTATGAGGTTACTGATGTACACAGCAGCAGTCTGTCACATGTTTAATGTGATTTTTAACAATCATAAAGGAACTGTGGCTCACCACTATGGATAGGAGGATACAGAAAAGACATTGAGCTACCTTCACATGTAAATGAAACAATAATTACCTATATCAATTCAGGATTTAAATAATTTAATATTAAACATCCCATTAAAGGAAGCAAAAGTTTTGTTAATTCTAAATAAGCCAGATAACTTTCTCAATCTTCTATCAAAACAGTTAGGAAGTGGGGGATAGATAAAGATTCCAGCTTTACAGATGAATGCTCTGTTCTCACAGAAAGAAAACAGAAAAATAAATTGGTCAGTAGATTCCACTTTGAAGTTAGGAGAAGCTTATAACAGGATAACAGTTAAATTTATGTTCCCAGGAAATTTTAAAATAGCATACAGATGACCAAATTAAATAAAAATAAAAGGTTAGCAAAGCAAAAGAAAAAGAAACGAGGGTCTGTGCAGTTTGTGGCAGCAAGAGATATTTTTCTCTCCCTGATGAAGAGAAGGCAGCGAGAACAGCAAAAAGACAGGGTAGAGCTCACAGCGGGAGAAATAGGATATCCAGCACGTATCCAAAACTTACCCAACTCGGTCTTATTCACACTTTTTTCCCCACTTTGCCAGTTTTAAATCAGACAGCGGCTGGGCTTTTGTTGTTGATGTTTCTGTCCTTTTGATCTCAGAGCCCCATAAAATTAAACTGTGTGTTGGATGGGATCTGGCCCCATGTCGCATTAGAGGGGGAGAGTTTTAAACTTGGATCCCTGGTGGCTTCTTTGGGTAAATGAATAAATAATAAGCGGCTGAAAGGAGAGGACGTGGGGGACGTGCTCAGCTGACGTCGGGCCCGAGAAGGGGCCGCACAGCTCCTCAGCGCAGCTGTCCAGATGTGCCTCATCTGGTTCCCCCGAGGGGCACGAGCCTCGGCGGCTGCGGCTAGCAGAAGCTCCAGCTGATTGGTCTCCGGGGCTCTTTGCTTGCCGCCTATTGGCCGGCCGGCCCGCCACTCCCGGGGCCACGGGCCCGCCCCCGCCCGCCGGGCCCGCTCGCTGCATCCTCAAGAGGAACCTGGAAGTGCAGCGCGGGCGCTGATGTGGCACTCGGCGGCCGCCGCGGCCGGGGAGGGGCCCAGGGCCGAGAGGGGGGTCCTCCGCACCCAGGGCCTGCCGGTGCTCTGGCCCCTGTTATGCCCGTTTTTTAGGCAGTCGGGCTTGTTTGTTTAAACCAGATGACTTCAGTCTGTACTTGGATGAAATTAAGGCGCGCCCCGCGCAGGCTTAAATCCCCAGCATTGCCGAGTGGAAGGGACTGAGGCTCTGGCATGCCCTCGCCCCAAAAGGGCGTTCAGGCCACGCCTCAGAACTTCACTCTCTCCTCTTTAGCCAGGGAGCGAATAATGAAATTCAAGAGCCTGTTCCTTTTGTTAGAGGAAAAACCTTAATGAGTCTTTCACTGAAGTCCTTATTAACCAGAAAGATGGTTCTTTCTGTAGAGAAGCCCAAGTTGGTTACAGGAGTGATTTGGAAGACTTGGTTGGTTTGGGGTTTTTATTGGGTGGTGGTAGATATAGGAAAACAAGGAATGTTCCTTTGTTCTGTGAGAATTTAGACAGGGCAGCACCAAACGATGCTTTGAAAGCTTGATTAGTTGGGGTGTTGTCTACAAATCAATCATCATTGTAATTTGAGGATGCTGACAGAAATGTGCCTCACTGACACATTAAGATGGCAAGAGCTACACTCATTGGGCCACATACCATGAACTGTGCCAGGATCTATGCTAATCTATGCTTTACCTGCATTATCATATTTAATTCTTACAATCACCTTATGAAGTAGATTTTAAAATCATCTCCATTTTCAGATGAGGTAACAGACACAGAGAAGCCTATCCCAGACCCCGAGGTCTCCAGTATATATGTTTGAATCATGAGTATATAAACTTACCTGTCATTTTCCAGAAGTGAATGGGTCAGAATTTATTTTTGAGTGCCTCTACCTTCTGAAGTCCAAAGATTTCACTTCATGGATGATGTCCTCTTGGTCGGTATATGTATTACTATTGCTATATAACAGATTACCACAAATTTAGTAGCTTGAAACACCACATGTTTATTACTGTTCCAGTTCTAAGAAGTGCAGGCATAGCTTAAATGGATCCTCTGCTGAGGGTCTCACAAGGTTGCAACCATTGTGTCTGTCAGGCTGCATCCTCATCTGGAGGCTCAAGTAGGGAGCACCTGCTTCCAAGCTCCCTCAGGTTGTTGTCAGGATTCATTTCTTTGCAGCTGTAGGGCTGCATCCCAGTTTCTTTCTGACTGTCAGCTAGCAGCTGCCCCTACCTCCAATAGTCTAGTCTCAGGCTCCTGCAATTCCCAAAAGCCAGGACATGATGATCATGGGGAGCCACCTTACAGTCTGTCTGCCACAGTGGACTAGTCAGACACCTCAGTCTCTGCAACCCTGACTGCAGTGTCATATCACCTCCACGAGCCCTTCAAAAAATGAATCCCACTCACCAAGTTAAAAAAAAAAAGTGAATGGATTCACAGCCCTCAATCCTCTGGCAGTCAAGGAAATCCATAAAGGAGGATTGGCCCTTGAAATTAATCATGAGTTTGGCTTTCTGGAACATTTATAAACTGATGACAGTACACATTTTATCCAAAAAGTCACTTAACAATAGGCTGATAGTCAAGGTCAAACTTCTACACTCATTCTCATTAACAAGTGTCTGATATTATTAACCATTGGAATAGCTTCCTCAAACATCTACTAAAAATAAATGATTTCTGGGGACCTCTTTCAAGTAGATGGAGTAGACATAATTTTCCCTAATTCTTCTGCTAGTACAAACACAAATCCTAACTTTATATATAAACAAATATGAGAAGACTTTGAAAGGCTGAAAGAAGAAAGCAAACGGTCTAGGAATCTAGGGACCCAAGGAAGGACATGATACTGAGTTCTCTGGGTTTTCTTCTTGTCTCTTTGACCCAGACTTGGAGCCCAGCAAAAGCCTGTTGACTTTTGTTGTTAGCCAAAGAGCCAGGAAGGAGTAGCCTAGGAAGACAAATAAAAGTTTAGACAATAATGGCTATACTCTAGTCAAACACCCCAGAAAAAACTGTGGCTTCCCCTACACCTATGTCAGCGAAGGCCAAACTGAATCCTAAATTTCCACCTGTACCAGGCTATAATAAGGTGAAAACAAAAGGCTAGTTCTTTGAAAAGATCAGCATACTGAGCAAACTGCTGGCACGACTGACAAAGAAAATAAAGAGAGAAGACACAAATTACCACTGTCAGGAAGAAAACAGAAGATCTCACTATAGACCTTGCAGGCGTCAAAAAGGAAATAAGGGAATACTCCAAACAACTCGACACACATAAATTTGACTTAAAAGAAATGGACCAATTCCTTGAAAAACACAAATTACCACAACTCGCCCAATATGAACTGAATAATGTGAGTAGCCCTGTAACTATTAAGGAAATGGAATTCATAATTCAAATACTCCCAAAAAAGAAATTTCCAGGCCCAGATGCTTTCACTAGAGAACTCTAACAAATGCTTATAGAACAATTAACACCAATCCTTCATAATCTCTTCCAGAATATAGGAAAGAACACTTTCCAACTGACTTTATGAAGAGAGTGTTACTCTGATGCAAAACCAAAGAAATACAGCACAAAGAAGAAAACTACAGATCCATATCACTCATGAACATAGATACAAAAATTCTTAACAAAATATTAACAAATTCAGCAATATATAAAAATTATTATACATCATGACCAAGTAGGATTTTTTCCCCAGGGATGCAAGGTTTATTTAACACTTAAAAATCAATCAATGTAATCGATGACATTAACAGACTAAAGAAAAAATACACAAACATATTAATCAATGTAGAACAAGCATTTGACAAAATTCAGCATCATAAATACACTCCAAAAAGTAGAAATAGAGGAGAGAACTTTCACAAGACCACCTACAAAGAGCCACAGCTAACATTATACTTACTGTGAAAAACTAGATATTTTTCTTATGTACTTTGTGATTCTATTTATGTAACATACTTAAAATAACAAAATTATGGAAAAGGAAAACAGATTAATGATTGCCAGGGGTTAAGGATGTGGTAGGGTGGAAGGCAAATGAGTGTAGCTATGAAAGAGCAACACTCCTGTGGTGTTGGAAGTGTTCCCCATAGTTTGACTGAAGCGGTGGGATATTGCTGCAATATTGTACTAAAATCTTGCAAAATGTTACAATTGGGGAAAACTGGTTAAAGAGTACATGAGGTCTCTCTGTATTATTTCTTACAGCTGTATGTGCATATATAATTATACCAAAATAAAAATTTTAATTAAAAAAAGAAAGATTTTTGGCTATCTCCCTCACCTCCTCCTGCTCCACAAAACTTATTAAGCAGTTTGGTCACTGAATACAGCTCTGTCCAGAAAGAGAGAATCTCCTTTCAGCTGCTTTCTGGATAATATTCTGGATGAAAGAAGTGAAGGGTTATGCAGAAGTAGGTGTAAAATTGGAATTCTACATTGACCATTCTTGGGCCTGGTGTTTCAGTCTTTCTCTTCATGGCAGCACTAGGCCAGCTGGGTTGGTACATCCTCCAGGTCACAACCTGGCCCAAAGGGGACCTAGAGGATTCAAAACTAAGTCTGGTTCAGCCACCTACATTCTCTTGTTGGATGACATGGTCCTAGATCATAAGGATAATGAATACGTGGTTGAGTACACTGCTCACTGTGTTGTCCTACAGTAGCCCATGTAGGTCCAAGTGGGGAACATGAGGAATCTCTGTAAGATTTAGAAAAATGAGCTTGTCCATCTTGCACTTGACTCACTGGACATAAGGTGTGGGTGCAAATAGGGGTGACTAAGGCAGAAGTGAGGTGACTGCTACTGGAATGGACACACTGACTTTGTAGAGGCAAAAGGAGAGCAACAACCCTGGTGCCCAAGGGGTGAACACTGTAAACCCTGGGACAGCAGAGGAGGGGGAACATTAATCATCCTTCATCTTTCAGAACTGTCCCTGGAGACTTTTCCCTAAGGGGAGTGTGTAGGTGCAACTTTCCCAAACTGTTACAAGAATCTTTTATGACACTGCCATCCCCTGCCAGACAGCTCTGACTGCAATTTGATAGCCATTCCCCTTAACCTTTACAAAAAGTCTACTGGAAACAGCATGAGTTGTCTCCAGCTCTTATACTTCTCCCACAGAACACCAGTCAATACCTCTGAATTCTCCCATGGGATGAAAAAATGCCACTCAGCTAGTGGCGTGGACAAACAGGACAGGGTGGACGGACAACCCTCAGGTAGTCTTTCCAAACAATAATTAGCCTCAATTATTCTAACTTAACTGGGAACTCCAAGCTTACCAACTAGTGAGGAGGCCACATTGGTCTATTAGCCATCACCACAGATCCCTATCAGTCAAGGCACAATGGTTGCTCTCACCTTATTTCTCATTGTAGTCATTAAATCCACCTTGTTTCTGAGGCTAGTGTCTCATCTGCACTCTCATCTTCTGAAATCTTATCATCTCTTTTAGGGAGCCCAGCACTGTGGCAGTATCTCCTACCATCGACCCTAGCCTATAGTGGATGGTCACCACTTCTCAAGGGTACCAACAGTCACACCCTCACAACTGACTAATGCATTTCTTATTACATTAATGAATGGGGTGTCCTCTGGGCCCACCAGGATAAGATGATCAAAGAATGTGTTCTCGGGTCTCATATAATAAATCCACCTTAATATTCCCAAGTTTCTGAGCCCTCAGGTTCCTTCCTCAATACTCTGCCGAGACAGTTCTGACATTACCACCTTGTTTGTTATAAATCTTTATCATGCCCAAGCTTCATGGAATCATTCCAGCAGGCTACTAAGACAGAAT